TGTGGACCTTGAAGTGCAGATTTCGTGGCAGGTGTAGTACTTTGTGGATGTTGAACTGCAGATAGACAGATAGAAAGATAGAAAGATAAATAGATCGATAGATAGATAGATAGATAGGTAGATAGGGCATATTTGCTTGAATAGAAAGTTTTGCACCGGGGAGTTCACCTTAAAATATTGATTTCGTGGCAGGCGCGGGTGTCGGGGATGAAGCGCAGATTTGGTGGCGCGGGGGGGGTTGGGGGAGGGTGCAGCGCCCCCCCAGCAGCACACCAGATCCAAAGGTGAGCAGCTCGGGCTTGCTTGCTTGCTTCCTTGCTTGCTCGCTTCCTTGTTTGGTTTCGTCTGTGCAAAGCAAACAAAAAGGAAAAGCAAAAGCAAAAAGAGAAAGGAGAACAGCTGCGAAAAAGAAAGAAAGAAAGAAAAAGCAGAGAAACAGCAAAGAGAAAGAGAACTAGCACAGGAGGCATGCTTGGTTAGAAAGTTTTGCGCCGGGGAGTTCACCTTAAAATATTGATTTCGTGGCAGGCGCGGGTGTCGGAGATGAAGTGCAGATTTCGTGGCGCGGCGGGGGTTGGGGGAGGGTGCAGCGCCCCCCCAGCAGCACACCAGATCCAAAGGTGAGCAGCTCGTGCTCGCTTGCTTCCTTGCTTGCTTGCTTCCTTGTTTGGTTTCGTCTCTGCAACGCAAACAGCAGGAAAGTGCAAAAAGAGAAAGGAGAACAGCTGCCAAAAAGAAAGAAAGAAAGATAGATAGATATAGACAGATAGATGGATAGGCCAAAAAGCCAAAAGCCACAGAAGCCACGAAAGCCACGAAAGCCAAAAGCCACAGAAGCCACAGAAGCCACGAAAGCCAAATGCCACAAAAGCCAGAAGCCACAGAAGCCAGAAGCCAGAAGCCACGAAAAACAAAAAAAATCCAAAAAATAAAACAAAAAAGCAAACATTAAATGGTCCTCCGTTGAAATTCTAGAGCCGCCGCTGAGAGTCAAGATATTTTTTGCGGGAAAAGCGTCGCCCAGGATTTGGCCACTCTTCCCAGGGTTTGACTCCCTCCTCACCCCTATGGATTCACGCATGGGGCCATGTTGTGGTGCGGTCGCGCGCGGGTCCATGGTGGATGCTTGAGGAAGCAGTCCCAAGCCTATTAGACACATCATATTGGTTGACACATATTGGAGCCATGGACATAGAACCGCCATTTGGTAGATTAATATTGGGACATCGATATTTTTGTTGCTCCATATAGCACCTCTCTGAGAACACCTGTTCCGTTTCATGCTTCGAACCCATCTAGAATCTAGAGAAGATCAGAAGGTCTTAATCATAATCACTGGGATGGCTCATTCCAAGTAAATGCCACAAACCTTGTCCCGGGAGAGGATAGCATACCTCAACTTTGCCGGTCATTCGTGGGGCCCTACATCTTCCGAAGGGAACTAGGGTCTGTCCGCCCAGCTGATGGCACCTAGATATAGAATTAGGTGGATGTAAATAAAAAAGTGAGATGAATGATGAAGCAACATCTAATCATGGAACCGTCCAATTGATCTCTACCTTTTAATCTTAGTTCCCCTTCACATCCCTTCACTGGCGAAGGCACGCCTTGAACTTGAGCTCCAGCTCCGGCGCGAGCGCTCGCGCTTCTAGCACTTCTGGCACTCGCCACGCTGGCCTGGTTGGTCAGAGCGCGTCGTACGTCCGTCGTGTCACGCGTCACGCGGAAGACGTGGGACCGGTCGACTGGCTCTTTCCGATCTCATTTGGAGGGTCCCAATGGATTCCGAAGAACTGGGCGATCCAGCGGGGTTCCAAACACGGAAAAACATGGGACTCAGGTATTTGCCGATCTGTTGGTTGAGGGTTGAAGAGACATCAATATTGGGTTAAAATTTGGTTGTTGGCAAAAAACATCATCGTCCACTCACCATATATATATATATACATATATACACATATATACAGTGTGTATATATATATATCTGTATAAATCCTCATGTTGGTTTGATCTTGGTTTGGGTGAGTGTCATCTTGATTTCCAATCTGAATGCCACGACTAGGACCCTGTAAAAGGTGTTCCAATTGCAAAGGAAAGCAGCGTCCTGGTCATTCATTCACGAGAGTCTAGTGAAATTCTAGTGGTCTCAGCTTTTCAGTGATTCGTTTTTGGAGATTCCTCGGACTGGCGAACAAAAACATCAGCAATCCACCCTCGTCCAAGACTTGGGTAGATGACCACCGTCCACATATTTAGGTAGATGACCACCTCCAATCTTTCCGTTGGGGAGCCGAACGTTGGCCCGACCGGGGTGACCCGTCGTGTCTGCTTCGATCGCGTGTGTCTTTTGTGTTTCGATGTCACCTCCGCCCAGAAAGCACCTGAAGCTTGTCATGCCCGCGGACACCACAATCCACCAAGCGCCAATGGTCCTACGGTCGTGGTGATGGAGGAAGCCCAAGTGGCGAAGCCCCCAAGGAATCCCCATCAGATCCCAGAGTGCATATATAGAAAATAGACTAGTCCCGAGTACCTATCTAAAAACGGACTCCTATTTAAAAAAGTCATGTCGGAAACCCCTAACTATTGTTTATATTCGTTTTTAAGTTGCCGCCCATTCAAGCCGCTACTAAACAACCAACATGGCGGATTTTGGAGGAGTTTTTAAATTACAGTAGGTTCCAAAAACAACCGCAACTGCCCACCTCTGTCCACCCTGTCTATCCACCAGGACACGCCGTGTTTACACCAGCAGGCTTTCCTTCCCCAATGGCACGGACTCACGCAAACGCACTTTCCACCGAGGTCATGCAAAACCGCATGGCACAGCGACATCACCTTTGCAAAGCTTTATATAGTTGTTAGTCTAATGAAGAATCACTATATATATTCTAATAAAGGCTTTAGTAGGGGAAAAGAAGACCCTTCGATCTGGAGGCTTCTTGAATTGTTGATACTAGTTTAATAATTGATTTTATATAAAATGATTTAAAATCTTCCTGGGTGACTTTTTGATTTTGAAGCCCTTCCCAGTGTGAACTTATTTTGGACCACCCTGATTTCAGGGACCCCCTATTTAAAAAAGGCGACCTAGGTTTCCTTATTAGGGGGGGGGCGCGTGTTTTTGAATAGGTGGACCGGATTAATCATATAGCTTCATATATAGAATCTATTCCAATTTGAGTGTCTGATGTCGGATGTTTGGATGGTATTTCTCCTTCAGTCGCAGTCCCAAAAAGGACAAACTCAAAGGCTCCCGGAACTGCCACCTCAGCCGAGCGGCAGAGCAGAAGCTGAAGGATGCAAACACAAATTTATATAGTGGTTAGATGGGGTTAGATGGGGCCTGCCATACAATGGTACCAAAGAAAAGCATAGAAAAGCTATTTTCGTGCATGCCAATATCAACGCCCTCAATATTTTGCAACCAAGATAAGGCAAGATCGGCCTGCGTTTCAACAGCAATCCAACAGGTGATCTCATGTGATCTCACATGACTGTAACTATACTGCATATACAATATATACAGCGTACAGATGTGTACATAGTAAAACTATACACATTATATAGGTAGAAGTGGACTGGGTGGTGCATGATGTCGTGTTAGGGTGCTCAACCACCAAGAAAAAAGCGTTCCCAGTCCCTGCTCCCAGTCCCCCGTGTCGCACATAAGGACTCGGTCCGTCCAAATCGCTGCTAATCACTCACAGGGTTGTGAGACCCGGTGCCACCGAAGACCAAGGCACTCATGGTCCAAACACTGCTTCAATTGGTAGGTCGTAGCCTTGCGACAGCCGGTCTCCACTGCTTCGTCGGCTCGACCAAACGACGATCTGGTCTCACGAATGGACAAGCTGTTGATGTCTTCTTCATGAGGTTCGAATGATGGGTGAGTCCCCCGCCGTCGAACGCAGTCGAAGAGCGTTGACCCAAACAGCCCACCGGAAAAAAGCGCCCCGATCGCGAAGCCAGCCCGATCGGTGCCCGAGCCAAAAGCCATATAGGTATGTGGGTGCAAGTCCAAACCCGGGACCCCTTAATCCCCGGTAGGCCTCCCTGGTCGTCTATTCCGCATCACGTTATGCCGGACATTTGGAACAACCGAACGCCCAAGTCAGCAAAAGCGTGAGGAGTTTCGTCGCTGGAGCTGCAGATCGTTTTTCGGTCTCGTGGGGTCTGGCACCGCTGTCAGTCTGTAGGTCAAAAGGATGGTTGAACTGATGGTTGACCTACCTGGGTGGTCTACATGGTCCGACCAGGGCGGTTTTGACTCATCCCCATGTGATACCAGGGCAGCCGCCTGGCAGCTCCTTTGCAGCACCATCTTCACGGCAAGCCGCTGGTTTCATGGCAACTTTGAGCTGCTTGTCCTCAGCTTCGGCAACACTCAATCTACAAAGCCGTTGCCACAACTGCCAATGATGCATCTTTCTCACCTCCAGCGACGCCAGCGACTGCCAATGCTGCACCACTTCCTAATAACCCTCTGCCAGCTGCGGTCATCTGCGGTCCAAGCTGTGTCTCCTCGGTCTCTGGACTCCCAGTCGTCAGGACTCCCCAGGTCGTCGCGTTGCGAAGTGCTGAGGGCTGAGGGATTTCAACGCCTGCCAAAGAGGGTTTTCAGAGCCTCCCAGAGTCTGTCGAAGCAGCTGCTCAATGTTGTCCACCTTGTTCTCTTGACATTTACGAAAAGAGGTTCCTCCTCTGCCTCTCATCAGGAGCACAAAAGTCCACAACCTCCACTTGCAAGCTTGTCAGTGGCGGTAACCTCATGTTATCATGCAGCTCGCCGATTTCTTCGCTAAAAGAATGCGAAACCTGGAATAATTGAATATCCAATCTGATCTGCGAGGACTTGAACCAAATGTTCCTGTTTCACCATACAATGGAGCTCCTCTTGATGAAGCTTGGCCACTATCACGCGCCACACGCAGTGATGACTTACATGCAATCGAGATGTTAATCCTCGCATGTACAAAAAAGAAAGCACCTGTTTCAGGGGTGGACAACAATGCCTCCTTAGAGGTTAATGAGGTTAAGTGTCTATTAACCACCCCAAAGCGGGGGACCCTGGTATTGATGTTTTTTGAATTTGAGCAATTGTCAAGGTCCAAGTGAGAGGTCACAGTCATGATGAGTCGCCGTCAGTCACTACACACTGTCAGTCTAACAACCCAAATGCTGGCACTTATTGTAGCTGGAAGCCCACCCACAAGGTTTGTCAACTAGAGTGCTTCAAGACCCTGAAGGGCCGGGAGAACGACCCAAAGAAATACAGTATCTGCCTGCCCGAACTAGGGTAGGTAAATCCAAAGCATGTGGCCATACCAACTGATATATGAGCTTCTACGCTGATTTCACTGAGGATGAGGTCAAATGTTGGATAGTACTGTAATTGCTCGACAAATCTAAAAGTTGTTGACACTCAATCAACTGAATATCCTCATGACCACGCATCCTTTGTCGAAGTGAGAACCTGTCTGATGCACACCCGCAAAACTACTCCGCCCAGCACCTGAGTGTCGGAAGGCTTGACGTTGCTCATCCGATCCAGCCGGGTGAGCGAGACAGGCGGGGTTCCACCACTACGGCATCCGCCACCGAACGCGAGGACCCTGCGATTGGCAGAAACGAAGCCTGCGATTGGCAGGTGTAGTCTTTCCAGAGCTGTTAAATACCATTTGCTTGTTGCTGAGAGTTAGGCACCATCACCCAGCTTGAACAAATCCTTTTGGACAAATGAATCAATGAACAAGTTGCAACCAATGTGTTTTAGTCTTCGGGAACAGAAATTAGAAGTAGTCCAAACAAATCTAATTGTGAATTAAATATGATTCCTATTGATTCCTTATGGTTTACATAATTTTACAGATGTTCAGATATGTTTTTCCTCGTTCCATCTTCCAAAAAATCTCTGCCGGCCACGGACGATTCTGCCTCGGGGTGGATGCGTTGCCAGGCCGTCCGACCATCGGGCAGCTTCACCTCGGACACCGCAGCTATCGGTGGATGACACTGGTGGATGCCTTGCTGGTCAAAAGAAGGATGTCTTTTGGGGAACGAAGAGAGGTCCATCTGGTACCACAATTGGTTGTTCACTTGGGGGTATGCCCTCTATCCCTTCATTGCTCAACACATGTGAAGAAATGCCCTTACTTCCAGACGTGACACCTTCCACCCCGAAATCCGAATTGTTTGGAAAGGTCTGGGGTCGAAGGAATCCGCTTGAGGAATCCGCTGTGAACGGAGCACCTCGACCCATCAGAACAAGGCTCTTGGCCCCAGACATTTGTGGTGAATTCCGAGAAACCGCCGAGCCCGGCGGTCAAAAGGTTGTGAGACCGAGTGACCTAGGACTGCATCTGGGATGGGCGAAAAAGAGCCGTTCAAGCTAGTCTGCGTCCAAGTTCAGTGCCAACTCTGCCAACCAGCCCCCCGCTGAGGTGGCCCACTGCCACATCGATTCTCTTTCGGGTCGAAATCAAGTTGCCTGCGAGGAGGTGAATCTTCGTCAGCACCAAGAAAACTCAAACTTCTCTTTGGTCCCCCCAATGGTGAATTGGTAGAATTTATATGGAGTTATACTACAGCATTTATATAAGGCGGCTATGTCAAAATTATTGGTCTTTGGCGTTTGAGCCAAAAGTTCTGCCAGGGGCTGTACTTGCGGAGTTGATCTCAGAGCGGGTGCCTGCTGTTCTTGTTTCACTTTCCAAATGAAGTTGGGTGTATTGAAACTGGTTTGATTGGGAATCGGGTGATTCCTTTTATGAAAACCTGTTGCAAACATATGCAGGAACCATCAGGAGTCCTTTTCGGACGCCGCAAACTTCTCTTTGGTGACCCGTGGGAGAGAATCCCTATCGACGAGAACACCGAACCAAGGAAGCAAACGAGAAGAAGCTGCTTGCGGGACTCTTCCGCACAAAGTATCACATCCATCCACATCCCCCTTTTAAGATGCGATTCCAAACAAAGTCCAAGGAAACGGCGGCTTTGCTTTCCGTGTTCCATCCCACGTTTCGTGTTCCGTCTCGCAGACTCTCCAGTCAGCTCGGTCAGCTCATGGGCTGTGGTCTTAACAATGGCTGAGTGCCTCCCCAATCATGAAAACAAAGAATCACTCAAATCTTTGGGTCATACATGGCCATACTCTTTTGAGCCTATCTGCCACATCTTGCCCGCCACTTGCCAAACAAACCAACGGTGTGATTTGGGTGGCCCCAACTGCCGCTGGAGCTCGAAGAAGGCCTAGCCGTCGAGTGAAAATAATCGAATCATGAAAGAAAACGGCTTTTTGGCAGGTCAGAATCTGGGGAGCCGGGTAGGGGAGCTAGTATCCCAGATCTTTGGATACTTCTTTGTTTACCAGGTGGGGATAGATATAGATAGATGGTGACCGTCATGATTGCTAACCTAGGCCCCAAAACGATTCTTACCACGTGTAGTACCCAGTACTTACCAGTTGTGCGACCACCTCGCTGAAGTATTTTGATGATCGGTACAAACTTGAATCTCTCAGGAATCAACCTTTGGCTATTCCTATACACTTGCAGCTCCCCTTGCAAGAATGACACCTGGATCTTGAATGGCTTGTTTTGCATAGGCTAGTTAGCCACGAAAAAGATAGAACAACAAATTGCTACTGCCGTTTGACACCTGCTCGATAGCTAAAGGACACATTTGGAGTCGACATAGTTCATCATGGTTCAAACAAACAACCAACGTGGTGCCACTAGGTCCAATGGGCAAGCCAGCCAGTGACAAGAATATGCCTACAGAAATCAAAGGCAATCCAAACGTTATTATGTTATTGCCTCGTTTCGGGCAGTTGTTTCTTTCTGAGTTGTGCTCAGCTGTGGTCGAGTGTTTTGTCCTTTCAACATCTTCCAACAATAACCTGACCACACTTCTGCCAAAAGACCTTTCTGGGTCTCTCTCTCTCTATATATATATATTAGTACACATCTCGATGCTTATGCTAGGACCTACATGGTGGCAATCCACTCAGATCCACCAGGATTGAGCCATGGACGGATCCAAAAAGATTGCATTTTTAGAGAAGCAAACCCATTCCATCGGAACGGGTGGACGGCCGGACTAGGCGGTAAGTGTCTGATATAGTATATGCATGGCCATATAATTTATAGACCCCCCTCCTATATCTAACTATCTATGTCTAGCTGAATTTGGCTATCAATCTGATCATTCTGATGCGTTCTTGACTGTCAGCTTGTCACCAAAACAAATTACGGACAACCAGGTCCTCAGATTGGGAACGCTCCAAACTTGATCCATTAATTACAGTATGACCTTGTTGGGATGTGTTTTGACCCACCAACAGGTGTCACACCATGTGAAACCAATTCTGCCCCGGGCTCCTCCCCAGTTTTCCTCTCACTCCATCCAATCCTTGCCTCCGAGATCGGCGAACTTTCCGAGGCTCCTGCGAGCTCCAACCGTGGGCACTGCAACCCTTGAAACATTCGCTGGTCGCTGGTCGGTGGTCAACGTGGCAGTCCCTCAACTTGACTGTCAACATCTGTCAACCAAGGCACCAACTTGGACCGGTCGACCGTCGTTTCGTCTTCGTATTTACCTCTTGATCCTCTTGTCCGCTGACTCTTGAAGGATTCTTGGGAAGTCAGCAGCACATGGTTAACTCTTTGAACATAGAACTCCTTTTGTAGAAGGTGGCCCATGCGTCGCACTCTTGAATGGAATGTCGGAATGTCCAATTCATCAACACCCAACAGTTTAGATTTGATAGTTTAGATACCAAATGATACCGGCTGAGCATTCACATTCGGCTTGTTGGTAACTAGCACTGGGTAAGTACAGCTTGCTTCCTTCGCCAATCTCAACCCGAGTTCATCGGCGGCAATTGCCGCCAGTCCTTCTGTGCGCCTGCTCCGCTCTGCTCCGCTGCTCCATGAGTGAAGCCGGGAAGTTCGGTGGAGATGCGTGTCGTTCCGATCCTGAGGAGCGATGGAGAGCACCCAATCCCTATAGAAGATCCAAAGACCTTCTCGGAAGCAAGGTATGTGAACCCTCAAAGGACGGTATGTGGATCCGCGGATTGATGGAGAAAACACCATTGTCATCCATTGTCCAATTGTTGTTACTCCACCTCTGACAAGCTGTGTCGCAGTTCTGATGATCAGGATCTGTTGTCAATGTGGAGATTCCTGCAATGGAACTACTGTTGAAGGACTGTCGCTGCGGACTGTAGCCCTCCAATCACCCTCGTGGTGTGCCGTTTTCAGGTCTCGCAAGCTGCCGTCACCACTGGGGGGGCCAGCGAAAGGCACGCCGCACGACCAGGCAACCAATGAAAACCGCTGATGTTCGAGACCTTGGACACCCTGGAGCTTTCTTTCAAATCACAAGTTACATTAAGTTACTATACATGGACCAGTTACATGGATGTAGACAGAAAGGGTACACTGGGTCTCTTTTTCTCTTGCGCTCGCCGACTGTTGTCTGTAGCCGCGGTACACTGGGTAATGCAATCGACGAACGGATCCTCATTCAACCTGCCAAACCTCCCAGGCAACCTTCTTTTTTTGCGCGCGCGGGTTGAACTAAATGTGATAAGTGACAACACAAGTTCAATCCACCTTTTAACGTGTGCTGGAGATCGTTTCTGTCCAGTTGGGATTCTTCACAGGTGTCCATCGTTCGAGTTCTTGGACACTAAGAACTTCCAATTCAATCTCATGTATCAGTCCCAGACGCTCCATGTGCTAATTTTCGTAATTCAGCACCGAAACAATCCAGCAATGAACCC